CACATGACCTAAGAATTTTATCTCTTGCAATCAAAATTTATGTCTTAAGAATTTAGCATTTAACTATTTTTTCGTAAGAATTGTCAATACTAATCTCGTGTTTTCATCGTACTCTTTCATTGTCTTAAAATACACTAAAATATTATCTACAAAAACAATCACAAATTTATCTTAGTATGGATGAAAAATATATTCATGTAATCCATTGGTATTTTTGAAATATTAATAACTCCAAATAACATCATTAACCATTCATAATATCTATATTTAATCCTTAAAACAATTTTAGGTACATCTTTTATCTTTATTATATAATGATAACATTTCAACCTTAAATTAGTTTTTGAAATTACTTTAACTTCTTTCAACTAATCTAGTAGGTCATCGGTCCTAGATAATAGTTATTTATTCTTAATGGTCACTTATTCAATTACCTATAGTTTATCTAAAACCTTAAACTTCTATCCTTCTTTTGATACATTAGCTCTAAAGAATTGTTTTTTTTCAGTTCAACTAGTTTTATTGGGACCATCCTATATGCTATAACAAATGTAAGTTTAAGGCCTAATATAAGGTCAATAAAAAAATTTATTTTCCTTTTTATGGCAAAAAGCATATGTCCTACAAAAATATCATGGAAAGTTCTCTGTATTTTATCAATCTTAAAGACCTCCCTTAATCTCTAAAGAAGCAATCAACGTGTATATCTTAACTTCTTAAATAGAAACCTCCTCAATTTAATTGGTAGCCAAAATTCTAGAACTCTTAGAATCTAAATTTTTAGAGATATATGGTTAGAAGAAAGTTAATTTATTTCTAAAATTATATCTAAGGTAAACAAATTAAATCCATGCTAAATTTTCTATCATTTATTACAATAGGACACTTCAAACAAGCTTTGATGATTATCATGTCTTGTGATAAGTCATAAACAATAAAAGAGCAATATTTTAAGTTTGATAACAATTTTTTCTCCATTTTCTCCTTATTCTATTTTTTTATGAGTCACAAAATACCATAATAAATTAAATCTTCTAATAAGTCATAAATAACAAAAAGAAAATTTTCTTTTATATTTGATAGTGATTTCTTCTTCATTTTCTATTTTTCTCCTTTTTCTCTTTTATTTTCTTTTTTTTTTTGGTTGGCCAATATAAATCAATAAATCTCGTGATAAAGTCTATATTTGTAGTTATTGCTATTAATTGTTTATGTTGATTTACTTGCAAATATTTTTTTTATTTACATAATTTTTCTTTCTTTTTATTTGTATTATGCATAAAAAAATTAAAATAAATAAAAATTTAATATTATTTGAATCATAAAATTTTATTATTAAGTAATTATTTTTTAATTTAAACTTTATCTATAGATGAGTTTATTTTTAAAATAAAATTATTTTAAGTTTACGCAACGACTAATTAATGTTAATTAAGTTGTTGAATCACTTTTAACATATTTGAATTATAAGAATTTATTTATAATGTGTTAATTTAACCTTTGCATAAGAGTGAGCTTATTTCTAAAATATAAAAAAGAAGATTTAAAAAAAATTATCTCAAAATTTCAATTTAATCTTTTCAAAAATATTTTCTTCTAGTCATTTAAACTAAAATGACTTTAGATAACAATCTTTTCAAAATTTAAAACGAAGGATTAAATTTATTTTTAAATAAATTTAATATTTTTAAATCAAACAAATATTTTCATTTCTCAATTAAAAATAATTTTTCTCATTAGAAAAATATATTTTCTTTTAATATGTAATTTTTCTTTAAAGAACCAAAGCGCTTTAAAAATTAAAATTAATTTTTATTAGAGCTAAAAAAAAAGAGATCTTCAAAATTTATATAATCTTAATTTTCAAAAGAATTAAGTGATTTTACTTTTTCCATCAAACTCATGCATAGAAGCAGAAACTCAACTCGTTAAGCTCAAAATAAATTTTTTTAATTCTAAAACAACAAAAGTTGTCTTTTTATTTAATTTTAAATTTAAAAAGACTAAAATATAATTTAATTTTTTTTTTTTACAAAAAAAAGATGAAATTGTTGCTTTATCTTAATCTAATTTGAAATATATAAATATTAATATAATGTTTCAAATTTATTTCTTTTATCCAAAAATAAAAAAGAATAATATTTTTTATAAATAATTTATTTCTTTAATTCAAATCTAAAATAAAAAATATATTATTTTTTTATAAAGTTGTGTCTCTATTTCAAAAACATCAAAACTAAGTTTCTTATAAATTATGTATTTTTTTAGATTATAAAATTAAAAATAAAAAAATATAAATTATTTTTATGAATGAAATAAATATCTGCAAACTGATGAATTTAGAACTTAAATTTAATTTTGAAGATTATTTTCTTCATTAATATTTTTTCAAACTTTTTTTTTTCCATACAAATTTTTTGTCTTTAGAATTAACTATGAATGAATCTATTCAGTAATTATCTACATATGTAGGGAAAATAATAAGTCTTTTAAGAATAATTTATGCTAAAGTTTAAAAAATTGAAAATAATGTGAAATGATTTAAAAAATAATTTTTAATTTAAATCAATAACCTATGTATTCGAATATATCTTTAAAATCACTTAGCACCATTTGATTTTGGAAAAATATTTTATTTTTAATTACAAATTTATCACTTAATTTATATTATATTTTTTATTTTCAAATATATATAAAAAAAAGCAATGAAAATGATAAAAAATTATTTTTAATGTTTGATATACAAATCTTAAAATAAAAATAAAGTGACAATTACGAGTATGTAGACTTGTGAGACTCTTTCTCCTTGCTTCATTTTCATATATCCTTCTTGATTTTTGTGCCTCACGTCTTAACTATTTTTTGTCATTGTTTACCTCTCTCTCTGACTTTACTTTCCATTTTTTAAGGGTACAACTATGGGTAGAGTTGACTATAGCAACATTTTTCTAACTCCAGAAAGCACATTTCCTCTGCATGTGGATTAACGATGGTTAACAATTTCACTGTGTAAAGGACCGGTCTTGCCACCTCGGTCCCCTATCATTTAGGTGAGCATTGTTTATCCATTCCTTCTTCATCGAAGACACTGCAATGCACTCCTTGTCACTCATTTCACCATGTCTTAATATTATGGATACTCTTAATGATCATGAACCTGCTTTTCAATTTTACCCCTTATCATTTACTTCTTCATAACAATTGTTCCCTTATAATTACGTACGAGAAAACGTGATAAAGCATACTAAATCTCTCTCTCCTTCAATTTGTTAAATTTTTCTTCCTTATCTTCCTACTACTGGATGATTTGAGTTTCGATCCTCACAATCTTTAATGCTTAATAACTTCCCTTTTTTTTTTTAAGTTGAATTACTCTCAACTGTTACACTTTTTCATAAACAAAAAAAAAGGCAAAGCCCAAATTGATTTCTTCTTTTTCATTATTCCCTTTTACGGACCATATGTCTTAATATTATTGGCACTTTTGGTAACCAAATGCACTAACTCGCGTCCTTACGTCAATTTGTTAAGTTTTTCTTTTCTATGTTCTTACTACTAGAAGATGTGCGCTTCAATCCCCACGATTCTTACTTCTTAATAACTCTTTTTCTAAATTTAAATTGCTCCTAACTGTTACACTTTTCATTAAACAATGATATTTCTTTCAACATTTGGGATGCTCTGCCCTCTCCTGGTTTCGACCCTAGGCGATATAGCCCTGCTCCCACAGGGTTGTTTGATGCGGTCAAGCTTGCCTCCAAGAACATACTTAGGCTAGGGGCGAGAAGGGAAAGAAATGTTATCTAATAATTTTTTATTACCATTCTTGTCGAGATCAATAAGAGGAGAAGGAAGAGCGTCCCAAATGCCAAAAGAAATACCATGAGAAAGAGCCTCAACGGGAAGGGTGATAAAGCCCTATGAGACGTAGAGGGCCTAGAGTTGCTAATAGGTCTGATAGATTTGGTGCGAGTAAAGAGACCAACCCTGTTCAGAGATAGGTAAAATATGGTGTAGTCAGTGACAAGGGGTGCATTAGAGCATTCCTAATAAAGAAGGAAGAGGCAGAGCGCGCCCACCTGAACAATAGGCGTCCATGAAACACAAGTAATAAGACCAATCTTTGACACAGCGGGATTGTTAACCATCAAATAGGGCTGACAAACTAGGCCTTGTCTTGTCTAGTGGAGCTAGAAATAATCCATATGCAGAGGGAAGATACTTTGTGGAGCTGAAAGAATATTACTTTAGTCATCCCTACCCATGATTATACCCCTTGGAAATGGAAAGTAAGTAAGAGGAAGGGTTGCAATGACTAAAAATGGTTAAACCATTAGGGAAAGGAGGGATCGAGACTTCAGATCTCATTAATGACCATGAAGTTCACCGAAAAACCACAAGGGATATTTGAGCATGAAGCAAGGAGAGAGAGGTGTGTCTCACAAGTCTACGTAATTAGTTCTCTGAAACAATAATGAAAAGTGAAAAAAAAAAAACATTTTCTAAAACAAAACAGCCCATGTATCTTAACTTTGGAACAAAATAGCTATTCATGTAAACAGTTGTAACACACAATTCTTCATTATTTATATTATTTTCCGGACATCAACACATTTTTGTGAACTACTCAAGAAAATTCACACCAATGAGAGACTCATTCTTCTTAAGACCTACATCCATGCCCCACCTTTGAATTTTCCCCTACCCCTTATTCAAGTCTTAAAGCAGTCCAAGTAACCCTTCCAAGGACCATAAAATCATCCAGGTCACATATGGTGGTCATCTTTAGTCGGAGGGTGGTGGTGGACTACACGCAATTTATCACATTGAAATATTTTCTCAAATCAGCTTTAAAAAATGTTTGGCACCCTGTTTGTTCGTGACCCCAACTAGACAAAACACCAACTAAAGTCTGGGAGTGAACATATCTAACAATTATTTAAGTTTACAAATCAATGGCACAACAGAGCTTATGAAAATGCACAAAATTTTTTTTTTGGGTCCTCACAGATAATTTTAAATATTTAAAATGAAAAATTTTTACGATTTATTACATTAAAAATACAAAAGTGTAATAAATAATTTCTTAATAAAATATATCGCTTTTCGATATTCAAAATTAATCCTAAAAGCTGATGTTCACAACAACCGTTCCTTAATTACTAACGAAAAAAGGACAGCAATGCTAACTATAATGATGGTCAGACTGCAAATACTCACTAAACATAATAGCCTAAAATAAATTATACTTGAGATAAAGAACGGTCGTTTTATGAAGACAGATGTTTACGGTTCTTCTATCGATGAGCATGATAAAAAATTTTGTTTTCAAGAAGCAGTGGATTACCAAAATAATTAAGAAAAAAAGAATTTAAAAGAATCATAAAATAACTTGCTAGTTGCATAAGGCTGTGGGCTATAAATAGATCCAGCATACAAAAAGGTCAGGAAAATTGAGATGTGGATGGAGTTAGAAGATCTAACTTACATGGGGATATATCTATGAGGAGAATTGGCATGTACAAATAGAATGCAGGGAAAAAGCAATTCTAATTTTCCAGTTCACTCCTTATCCAATCTTGTGAACACACCAAAGCTTGGACCGTAGCAGAATTAAGTGAGCTCCAATCGCGATCAAGGACTCTTCCACTATAGTTAAATGCCAACTCTGGTGCAACTTTTGACATTGGAATTCCCAAAACGTTTCGTGCCATCATGGATAAGACAGGATATCTGGGAGTGTGAACTTTCCACCAATTTAATATACTGAAATCAACATTACGTGGAAAGAGAGGTTCTTCTAAATACTTGTCTAGATCTGATTTTGCACCTTCACCCTGCGACGTTTCATGGAGAAACTTATCAAACCCCATCAACCTATCCCTGGAGTCCTTTGCAGAACCTTGTAAGAGAAGTGGACCATTGCCAACTTGCCATGCCAAACCTTGATCATGAGACGCTAGTGGGGAGCCTATTGAATGTTCATTGTATAGAGCCTTCACACCCTCAAAGACCTCTTCAATTCGACCACCAGACATGCTGCCATAGATTTGTGGATAATAATAATCTACCAACTTCATCTTGAATCTAGGGTCTAACATGGCAGCAACTGCCAACCCTAAGCTACATTTCTCCCAATACTCATCAAACTTGCTTCTCAATCTTGACGCCAAAGAATTGATATACTCATCTGAATTCTTGCACCATTCAATCAAATGCAACTTAACATCACAGAGCTCAGGGAAATATATATTTGCAGTTGGATACTTGCTCTTGTTGAAAACATTTATAACCTCAACAAAAAGCTTCAAGTAGCTAGCAACTGCAGTTACTCTCTCCCACTCTACATCAGATAAACAGATTTTGTAGGCAGTATCATTTTCTTGCAAGAGAATTAAAACATCCTTGAATTCTAAGGCAACTTCAAGCATTGAATATGTGGAGTTCCATTGCAACGGATTATCAAGAAATAACCCCTTTTGACTCAGAATCCCAACTTCTTTAGCCATCTCACTGAACTTTGCCAGTATAGTTTGTGAACTTTTAATATAACGAATAGTTTCTCGAATCTTATTGACAATTTCACCTACAGCTCCCAGAGCATGCTGAACCATGGTGTTAATTACATTTGCAGCACAGCGTATATCAAATAATTGACCATTACAGTAAAGAAACCTGTTTTGCAGAAGTCTCTCACCAATTCTAATAACAATGTTATCACATGTTGAACAACTATCCAGTATCATGGAAAACAATTTACGGTCAATATCCCAATCCATTAGACATGTCATGATAGCTTCTGAAAGCATGTCTTCAGTATGAGAAGGATCAATCCTTATAAAATTTAGTATCCTCCTTCTTAACATCCATGATTCATCTATGTAATTTGCTGTCAAACATAAATACTCACCGTCACCCACAGCAGTCCACACGTCAGCACTAAGACTGATTTTCCCAGGCAATTTATCCAACATCTCATTCATCTTTTTTCTCTCTCTCTCATAAATCTCAATACAATCAGCCTCAACCCTATTCAACGTCACCAGCTCAAACAACGGCTGTAGATTTTTTACAAAAGCTCTGAAACCAACATGCTCAACCATAGCCAAAGGATATCCATGTAGAATAATCATGCGAGCAAGATCAAATCGACTCCGTCTTTGATCAAAGTTACTAGTTCCAGTGTTGACAGATTCATCTTTCAACTGTGTCTGCTCAAATTTAATATTCACAAGACTAAGGGTATCCTCTTTATTAGAATCTTGATCTAAATTGAAATTTGCAATTGCTAGAGTCCCTTCCTTTCTCTTTTCTCTTGCTGAAATGTATTGTGCTATGCCATGGTTTGCCCGTCTCTGACACCTAATTAAATGGTTCCTTAGATGTGAAGTTCCACTGGTACTTGATCCACTCAGTTTCTTTTTGCAATGCCTACAAACTGCCACACATGTATCGCCTTTCTTAATCCTATCAAAATCATTCCACACAACGGATTTCAACCTACTAGATTTGACAATGACAGCATCAGACATATCCATCGCATGAACCTGTAACAAAATTGTGCCCATTAAATTTAATTCAAACATTTCCATTACAGGGATAAAAATAAATAAGCAGGATTGCATCTATGTACTGTATACTGTGTGGGTGCATGTGTTTATGATGATAAAACTGCAAGGAGGTTTTAAATCTAATTAAAAAAAAAAACAAAAACAAAATATTACCATCAATTAAAAGGCACAGACAGCGATACCTTACTTAGGAGTTTTATTTAAGAGGAGGAAATGCAAAACATAATTCATCCATCAGCTTCTACAAAAGATTCACCACATTATCAGTGAAAAGTTTGTTTACACCTAGTCCAGCAGAATTTTATACAATACAGATTGATGTCAATACCTATTTCTTTTGAATATTGATGATTATTATAGAATACAGTCAGGGGCCACCATGTCAATACCTATTGAATACTGATGTTTCAACCTGGACCGCAGCTAAAATGATACAGCTGTATATAACAGCCATGAGCAGCTACAAAGTTTAAATAGCAGGGTGGCGATAGCAGCTCTAGATAAAATAATATTCATTTTCCCCTCAAACAGAATTTTTTAGGGGGATTTAGAAAATCCCTTGTTGGATGTAGTTTCCCATGCTTCTATCTACTGTGTAACATCCGCACTGCAACCAGCAACATCATTTCTGTCTGTTTTCTTGACTTTTGTTGTTATTTACTAGTATGTTTTGCTTAAAACTACTTTTTATAGTTAATTATGAATTATGGCATGATTTTTGAGTGATTTTGTACGTTTTTATCATTTATATGTATATAGTATAAATTATTCTAAAATGTGCATATGGTATAAATTATCAAAAGAATTAAGAAGGGTCAGGGATGTAATAAAATTAAATAGGAAGGAGGGACCACCATGTGCCAAATCCCTAAAGCTTCAAATAAACTCAATATTATAAATTTATAATGTCCACATAAACAAACTCATGGACGTTTAAACCTTGATCTTGCCTCTAACCATTATAATGTACCTTCGCACCCAAAGCTTGTCATTCAAAACTAATCTAGTGTACTATTACACAGTATCTGACAGTGCTTGTGTTGTAGGAAGTTGGAACGGGGTAACGGAAACAATCACAAAGAAAAATATATTATTTTAAAGATAAAAAAACCTCTGACAGTGCATATATTCTGGAACATGCTCTGACTCAACAAAAGGAAAGCTTTTTAATCCCCACAACATTCAAAGCAGAAAAAATTAAAAAAATATATTATACACACAAAACCAGTGCAGAAATATTTATTAATTCGTTTTCTGATCCACTTTGCTGATACCTGACAACCTTTACAATTACCAGTATAACGGTAAGTCCCTTTCCCATTTTTCTGCTCCTAATGTGATTAATGTCCCGTAAAATTTTGGTATTCTAAGTATGTGTGTTAAGCGTTTAGTAGTTTCTGCTATATATATATATTTTTTTTCACATAATAAACCACGCATGATTTGCATGGTTTTGAAATTTTAATCAATTTCGGATAGTATAGGACCTCAAAACTAAAACTGATTTTTGGGTTTATAAAATTTATGGGTAAGAAATCCAGTGACTTTTTTTATGATGTGATAGGATGTTGATGATGTGCAGCACTGAACAATTGTTTCAACATTTAGGGGTTGAAACTATAAAGCATCAGAATGGAGAGAAGCGAAGTTGTGTTGGACCAATTAACAATTACACTGACCAGCTTCTCAGTTATGACAAAGACGCTCATTCTAAAACAATTCTAATGACTTATGAGCTAAATGTGCATAAAATGCATATTTGATTGAACAAAATTTGACTAACCAAATTCTTGTTCAACATGGTGATATGATAATATCAGATAACCTCACCACAATAGCTAAATGTAACCAATATTTTTATTTGTAAGTTATCTCATTTTTTGGTCCCCACAATAGCTAAATGTAAGCCTAGCTTATTTACTGCTTCATCTAAATGCAGATTTCCTGATTTTTTCAGTCAACCTAATAAACTCTTAACTGATTTCAATAGAAATTGATTTCATTCTTGGTTTCCCTATTCCAACCCCACCTAATCTGAGTGTTACTAGGTGTCTTTAGGTCTGAATCACCATATAGTTTTCTTACATACTGCTTGAGGAAAATGTGAACTTAACAGAATTCTCTTCAAGGGTGTCTCACTAGGGAATGCCATAGAATACTATTCCACCCCACCTAGGTGGTTTGATCAGTAAAGCATTTTTCTAAAAGCATCCTGTGCACTTTAATTTCACAGACAGACACACGAATATGTATCCATGAAGCATCAGTAAAGTTAAAATAACAGAGCATATCGAAGTATCGAACACAAAATGTATTGGTGTTATTTGTGATTAGATCCAGAAGTACACGACTAATAAACAACTATTTACTCAAAAACAGACATGGGATTCACATCAAAATGAAAGACCAAGGGAAGTTGTTTACCTAGAAATGAAAAGTGAACCTCACCCTGTTCTCACTTCTCAGGAAACTTAAACTTGTTCTAAACCTGAATTGCGCGTATAAAAAAAACCCCAAAACAAAATGTATCACGTTAGATTCAACCAAACAGTGTTAAGAATTTGTCAGCAATTACGAAATAAGCAAACGAAAGAATAACAGAAACACGTTAAGAAATCAGAAAACCTATATCTATACCTGAATGGAGAGGGATGATTAGGTGAGAGACGAAGGACCAACAAATTGCAATCGGAATGGAGGAGCAGAAGAAGCAAAGACCAAAGAATGCAGAGAAGCAGCGAGAGTAGGTAATTTAGATAGGCGGATTTGGGAATTAGGGTTCTTGCGGGAGAAAAGCGAAAGCAAGGAATGAGATTGAGAGGAAGAGTTAAGTATTGTTGTTTGAGAAAGGGAAATAGAATGTGAAAAGGGCGAAGAGGAAAAGCCCTAAAAGCATGCAGCAGGAAAGAAACGCAGGTGAAGCAGCCAAGAGGCGAACAACAGATTCAGCAAACCACAAAACATAGCATCGAAATTAACCCAAAACGATTTAAAAAGCCCTCAGCCCCAAACAAAAACTGCACCACCTTCACCAAACCCCATTTTACAACCTATCAATCTATTTAACCTCTCTTCCTCGTCTCGCATTTTTAAATCGGGTAAACAGCATTAGAGTGCGATCATTTTTTAAAATATAATAATTATTATATATAATTTAACAAATATTAAATTTTAATATTTGTAAAATTACTCATTTTCTAAATTTAAAGTTTAGATATATATTTTTATTTTTTATTATATTTATATCTTTTATTTTAAATTTATTTATTTTTTAATTTTTAAATAAATTAATTCATTGACCTAAAAAATATGTGCAATATTAATATTTTTAACCCGTTTAAAAAATAGAACGAGTTAAATTTAATTTATTTTTAAATTGGTTTAAAATAAGATGAAATAAAAAGAGATAGCTGTATTTGCTAAATTATTATAAATATTTTTATAAGATGCGGTTAATGCATTATTTTGTGTATTATCCTTTTACACAAGTATAAGTCTTATTAAGTAAGTGATAAATAATAAAATTTTATTAAAAATTATATTGAAATATATTTAAAAAAATAAAAAAAGTAACTTGTTAAGAGGTTATTTTTACTGTGCTCTACACAAAAAAATAAAACATATATATTATAAAAATGTTTAAATATTGTTTTGATTTTAAAATAAAATTTATCTTTTAATTTAGCCTTTATATAAAAAAAATTTGCTAACAAGTCTCTAAATAATATGTGTCATTAACATTCGCATAAAGTTTTTATGCATGACAATCAAATTGATTTCTATAAAAAAAAAAAAAGGTAGATCATAATAGATATTTTTTCAGTTCTTTTAAACCTTCTAAAATTCTTATAATTTTTATTTTTTTTGAGTTTTTCTATTTTGAAGTTTTCTCTCTCCTATTTTTATAGTATTATTTTATAAATAAAATTTTAACTTTTTTAAAAATATTAATTTTTTAAGTGGTGATTTTTTAAAAATATTTATAAAAAATAAAAATAGTAATTTTAAAAATATTAATTTTTAAATTATTATTTTTTAGAGAAAGAAAAATATTTATTTTTTTATAAAAATAAAAGATATAAATATAAAATATAAAATATAACATCATTTATATAATTAAATATTCTATCACCCTCTCTTCTTAATATTAAAAATTTAAATAAGGGAGGAATTTTACTTTCATCTCTCTCCCTTCCCTCTTTCAAACCCTTTTCTTCCAAACTTTTAAAATAAAGTCTTAAAATCTCACAAAATCTTATTCAAATTCAAATAAAAATTACATTCAATTTTTTTTTAAGACGAACTATTTACAAGCACAATAAAAAGAGTGATGACTAAGGGTTAACGCTCCACGTACACTTCATAATGTGCAAGATTCTCATTTTAATGCCACTACATATAATCATATTTATAGGAATAATTACACACTTAAACATATGAATATGTAATATTTAAAATTAGGCCAAATAGGTAAAGAATACATATATAGCAATTAATCATTGCAAAGCATGTTCTAAATGAAAAAATTATATAGCCATTATCATTATAACAATTATTATTTAAAATGAAAAAGATAACAAAATTTTTACAAAATGATTAATTTTAAGTTATTTTGAATATAATAAATAGAACATAGAAAACTAAAACAAGTAACTCTTATAGCAATAAATATGACACTTAAAACATGTTTTTGTAAGTTACTCTAATGCCATTGTTGAGAACCATAAATATTGCATTAGAGCATCAAAGATTTTCATTTACTTTACGATATACATGTTTCAAAAATGTAGAAGTCCATACAAACATTTTTGCTAAAATTCTTCTTTGTTACTATACCAGTAGCTCGTGAAATAAAAAAAAAAAAGAGAGAGAGAAACACAAAAAGTGACAACTAGAGTTTCTCTAAAAGGTTGTTTGAGTTTGAGTATTTTATTCTCTACATGTAGATGTAGTTAATCTTAATTTTTTTTTACCTATTATAATCGAACTTATTCTTAATGAGTTTAATCTAGTAAAATATTATTTCAATTCAATTAAAATAATTTTTTTAATAAACTTGTTCTATATACATATGAGATATTTTTCATATCTAATTAAAATAATATTTTTAATAAACTTGTTCTATATACATATGAGATATTTTTCATATCTAATTATAATATTTAATATAAATATTCAAATTTTTATACCAGCATGTACTTACATACTCGTTGCCTTAAATTCCAAGGAGTTTGTAGGGAAGCAATGACCCATGCCCTTTCTTTTTATTGATCAGTGATGTTTATCTGTTGAACAAAAATGGTGTGTCTTCTTGTCTATGCAATTTTGTTTCTTTAGTAAATGATAAATTGCCTTAGTGAAGAACTAGACAACATGCAATATACAGTATGTTGATGTCTTGCAGTTTCTGGTTGACATTTGTCCAATCCATCACTCTCCTTCGCTACCCGTTCATTTTTCTCTTGGTTATAATTTGATAGGGTTTTTGACATTAAAAATGTATATAAATTAATATAATTTATATTTACATCTTATTATTATGTAAAAGGATTGTAGTACTACAGACTAGATTTATATGTGTTGGTTGTTTATTCCTTTCGTATATTGAACATTTCTATTGGGCACCGGATTTAATTTATATGGATTATGTTATTGATGACGTAAATACTGTTAATATAATTTTTTAAATTAACTAATTTAAAGAAAGACACTCGAAAGGGATTTTTTTTTTTTGCCTTCACTGACAAATCTGACATTAAAGTATTTAAATTATAATTTAATAATCTAAACTAAAAGAACACTTTATTTATTCAATAATTAATCTAGTTATATAAACTTATTTTTTAAACGAAATATTAATAAAGAGTCCAATTAACCTCAAGAAGAATGTCATTTGAAAAAAAATGTAACATAGCAACAATAACAGCATTATTAATTACATGACATTTTAAAATTTAAATTTTAAAAGTATTATTTATTATGAGATATTTTTTATAATTATTTTTTTTTACATTTTTTAGAAATAAAATTATGTTATATGTTCTCTCATTAATGTCTTTAATAATATTATTTGTACATGTTTAAATAACTTTAATTAATGTTTTGTCATTTTTTTTAATTGATGTTACAATATATATAAACATTTTATATCAATTATTTTTTTTCATTCGTGTTGTTGTTATTATTGTTTTTTTTACAATTTATATTTTGCTTATAAATTTTAAAGTTTTATTAATCTCAGCCCTTAAAGTTAAGTTTAAGTATTCACAAATAGAAAATTTTTATAAAAAAAATTATAATGTTATTGTAATATTGAAGTTATAGAAATACAATAAATATTTTTTTTATAAAATTTTATTATTATTAATTGCTTATCTTCAACCTTAATAGTTGAGATTAACAAAACCTTAAATTTTAATCATCTATGATCTACCACATATTAGGCTTTGTTAGTTTTGCTAGAGAAGCTAGTTTTGCTACAAGGGCTTTGTTAGTTTAAACTTTTATATACATACATATATGGGGCATGATCTTCTTACACTTGTATAAGCATAAAAATTTTTATATTCGATTTGAGTTTTTCATTTAACTTACATATAATAGGTTATAATTTATTATTTCACTGATAGTTAGATGTAAGCTTAATTATTTTCAAATATTTTTCAATGAGATATTTTCGCAAGTAAAAGGGGATAATAAAAATTTTATTTCAATTGGTTTCAAGTACTTTTAATAAAGTATTTCAAAATATGGGATGGGTTACAAATTTGAATCAAAATAAATGTTATAGGACTTATTCAACAAATTACAATTTTCAAAATAAAATCTAAGTTCTATAGTAGTGTCATCTATCCCATTTACTGAGCTTGGTGCTGATCGTCTGAAAAATAAATGTAAGGGTGAGTTTTCTACACTATCACACCTATACAAAGGAAAACTCACCTTACATAATTCAAACATTTCTAAATCTAGGTAAATCATGCATTAAACAAGCATCAATTAATTCCTTCTAACAACACACAATTACAACCAGTCAAGCACACAAACAGTTACATTCATTATGCAATCAGCCTATATAATAATCATCACATAACAAGCATACAAAAGTGTGCTCACTGCACCTTCAACCAATCCACATACACACGTGCGCTCACTGCGTGTCAGTCACGCTCACTGTGATCACAATTTTCTGACACCCTCAACCTTAGAGACTTATTCAGTTTCACACCATGGATAATCGCCAATTAGTCCTCGTCTCACGGATATAACGTGTACGGTCACAGGCCCCTTAATAAAGGTATTGGTCAGAGGCCGAGTCAAGAGAAGAATGTGTGACATGTGGTATACCAATGCTTACTGTTGATGTCACCACCACCATCTATTCCTCAAGATATTTCTACTGTCCTCATCTTTCACACCCCTAGCGTATCGCTATAACTATTCATAATTTTCAGCCATTCCAAACACAATTACAGTCACATTCAACATGCTATTTACACACATTTACTCACATTCTCAAGTGTCTCACAATATTCATTCTCAAACATGGTACATACACACACATTCAACCATTTCATTACACATATTACTCAATATCTATTACACTATACTCTACACAACATTTCCATCACAACCCTATTACAATCAAGTCAAGTTATCATCCGCTCACTATATTCCATCAAAACATGTTTTTCTACGTCCTACCTCAACCACATTTCAATCCATAGCAATATATACAAATTTCAAATACAAAAGATAGGATAGAGTCCCCTTTTACCTTGAATGAAGACCCACAACAAAATCGATTATAGAAAAACTTCCTACACGGATTTTCGTCCTAAATACATAGAAAAGTCCTTGAGAAATCGAGGAGAACAAAGATTAAATAAAAATGAAACCCTAACTCATGAAACTTACCTCCAAACATCTCTAAAACACGATCTCAACCTTCAATTTAGGGTACAAACGACCTTGGAAGCAATTTAATCAGTGAAAACATGTTAGGGGTTGAGAGAATCGAAGGAGAGATGAAAGGAAAAGTGAAAAATGTGTTTTTCAAACCCTAAACCCTTTAAATATCCTAGAATTCACGATATTCTCGCTACAGTGACACTCTTTCTC